TCTGCCCCTTTTATACCCTTGTCATCAGCATTCCCACCGATTTCCTAGCTGCCTTTGCGGCTTTGATATATTTAAAGAGCCTTTTATCAGCAGTTAGAGCATCCTTTGCAAGGCAATTTACAGATTCGTATTTTTAGCCCTATTTATTTCCTGTTTAATTGTGACCTGACATGTTTTATGGGTTTCCCTGTTCTTAGACCGCTTCGGACTTTTAGGGTTGGGTTTGGGGATTTTTTTGACTAGTTGCTGCAAAAATCAGTATCTTCAGCTCACGCCCCAAAACCTGGGAGAAGTCAATTTAATCCTCCTGGGAACACTTAATAAGCAAAGCTGCTCCATCTGCAAACACCAGACACAAGGCTTTGAAACAGAGAGCATTACTGGGCTAAAAAAAAAAAAAGGTGAAGGGTGGGAAACTGGGAAAAAATAGCAATTGATGACTTTGCAGTTGCCAAACTTGACAAATGACAGTCCTCCTCTCACAGGAGTGGCAGATGGATGAGGCAGTGCTAGGCTTGCCTTGCTTGTCTTTCTGTGGTTTGTGGCCCTGGGCTAATGAATCCCAGATTTCAAGCAGGATCCTCCGTCCCTGGGTTGTGCCAGGGTCCAGTCACCCTCCTAAGCCTGGGATGAAGCCGAGGTGGTCTCCCCAAAACCAGCTGGGGACAGTGATGTTCACCGGGATGTTCTGCCTGAATCGCTTCAGCCCTCACCTGAGTTTCCCTAAAAGCTCTCCGTACCGGGGGTTTCTGTTGGGGAAGCTGTTGCTAGCGAGGAGGGGAGCACTTCTTGCTGGAGGAGAGGCTCCTTTTCCCTTACCCCTGTTCCTCCTGTTGGAAGGAGTGCTATCATTCACCTTGGAAACAACAAGCCATTAAAGTCAAAGGAAGTACACAAGAAGTGAAAAGTCAAGCCCTCAGGTCTGCAACGGTGTGTTACCTTCATTGCTCGCTCTTACTTGTTTATGCCTTCAGCCTGGCACATCGCATGCAGGAGGTATGTAAAAACAGTCTCATAAAGGAAACAAGGAGTGGTTTTCACCAGCAGGTAACCAGAAAAATGCAAAATGCTTTCTGCTTTCAGGCCTGAAAGGTGCTGCCTTTCACATGCAAGTTTGGATGCTGGGCTTTGCTGGGGAGTGTTTGGATGCAAGGTTTTATGTCTCATTTTCGAGGCTGGTTTCAGGCATAAGCAGTGTGAACAGCACGAGACCTGTCAGGCCTGATTAAGCCCATCCTTACCCCACTGTCCCATCACGTTACTGTGTGACAGCTCCTCTAAGGCAGCTGTCTAGACCCAGGCTCTTACCCCACAGCCATCCACGGCACCGCACCTCTCCCCTACCACCCTGCGTTGCTTGAATATGCTCAGGTGTATCCAGATAAATGAAGAATGCCATGTGACTTAAGTGATCCCAATACCCCCATACAAGTATGTGTTATAACCATGCAAACCTCTGTCCCTGACTCATTTAGTGTTTTTTAGCACACCCTGTGCAGATGTGCCAAGCACTCTGTCTAGTGTCATTTTCGGTCAGGACAAAAGTAGGTGGCGGACTTGAGTGGCACCATCTTCCAACCTCCTCTGTGGGTCACGTGCCAGCAGGACGCCCTGTATCTCGGGGGAGTGCATGGACGGGAGATCGCAGGACGCAAAATGAGTTGTGGCTGTTCTCTGAAGCCTCTCACCCAGCCTGCAGGCACCTCCTCTCTCACATTGATGGGTGAGGGTCCCACTCAGCTCTGTTTCCCATGCCCAGTTGGATTTTGAAGGATGGGCAGCTGAAACAAAGCATGAGCCAAGCAGCAGCAGTCATAAAACACCACAAAGAGCTATTTTTCGTGATCACCTCCTCTCCACATTGATGGGTGAGGGTCCCACTCAGCTCTGTTTCCCATGCCCAGTTGGATTTTGAAGGATGGGCAGCTGAAACAAAGCATGAGCCAAGCAGCAGCAGTCATAAAACACCACAAAGAGCTATTTTTCGTGATCACATTTCCCAACAGAATCACATGTTGCTAATAGCCAAACAGAAGTGAAATATCTGAGAGTTTGCCCTTTCAGTACAGAATTTCAGTCCAGATAAAATAGCTGTAGCAGCCTTTGAAATGCTAAAGAGTAGTAGGCTTACAGTAGTATCTGATAGCCCCTCCCCAGCACAGACTAAATGAGAACTGGTTGCAGCTGCAGAAATTAGCTTTGAACTAGAGCAATGAAAATTCCTCTGCAGTTAAATGACGCAAACACCTGACTACTTTTGTGGCTTTTATTATCAATGACAGCAAAAGTCTAGATATCCCACCTTCAATAAAGTTTTACTGCATTAAAGTTTCGTTTATCGTTGAGCTTTCAGCTGCATTTCCAACCCCTATTGTGTTGGGAAAGAATAAGAGATAACACTTAAAAGCCTTTTCATGTGCCTCCTTAGCAGGCTCCTGTTACATGTATTTTAAGGATCCTCTGCAGTAAGCTGATGGAACTAGGCAATTTACCTCAGTGAAAGACCATGATGCATGGGCTGTTACTCTTGATATAGAGAAATCTTTTTATTAGACTCCACGTAATCCCAAGTTTCGGTCTGCCATACAAAGAAGGGGAGGAGTGGGTATCGAAGCAAAACCAGCCAGCTGAACAAAGTAGAAGTCTACACTGAGCTTCATGGCTTTTTGCCATCTGTTCTGCCTGTATCCCACCCGTTTTTCAGTGCCTCGCCCAGTGCAAACTCCCTGGAGTGTTCTGCTGGCAGCAGAACCTTTTCCTGCTGCTGAAAAATGGGGAAAAAGGAGAAAGGGAAAGGGCTTAGCAGAGGGATTAGAAGCAGGGAGCACCTTCTCCACCTGGGGAATGGTGGGGACACACAGGGCTCAAAGAAGAAGAAGGGGGTAGCAGGTATGGGGGGCCATACATTAATGACACTTGTGGAAGGGAGCTGGTCTCCCTTGTAGGGCTTTCCAAGCGTGAGGAAGGACGGGGCCTCTCTGCCTCTTGTGCTAAGGGTAGCCACCATGCCTTGCTTCACTCCTCACAGGTGAGTACTCTCAGAGGAAAAGTCAAGAAAATAAGACCAAATCTCTACCATCCTTTGAATAAGGTATCATGACTAGCTAAATCCAGCTAGCCCTGCTCATATGGAGTGAAGGTCGCCTTGTGCATGTTGAGATGCACACAGCCAGTGGAGGGTGGCTAAGGCCACCAGAACCTGGTCTTCTATGGACACCTGCCAACGGCAGGCACTGTGCAGCCAGGTGACAGCAGCAAAGGTGACAGGAGTCAATTGGAAGAAATTCTGCCAGTTAACAGTGAAAACCCAGGAAAACAACAGAGAGAAACTTGCACTTTTTCTCACCAGGCTACTTCTCTGAACTCCTCATTGCAGGTGGTTCAGAGAAAGCAGGGTCCATCTTTTGCTAGAGAAGCCACATGAAAGCTCAGGACTGTTTAGTTCCCAGTTTTCAACCGCATAACTGGCGAGTGGGAGCTGGTTTTGATCACCGAGAGCACTGGAACAACCTGTCCGCGTGCACATCCTGGTAACCTCTACAGCCACATACAGTGTTCTCTACCACCGGCCCCTAAACTTGTCATTTAAGTTGGAAGATGCTTCTTTCTTTAGCTGTGTGATATTAACAGACTGATATGCACAAAGCTGCCATCACAGAGAGAAACTTTTCCGGCATTTTCAAAGGAGACCCAGCTGCATTAACTACACAATTCCCATCGAAAGTGATCACAGAAAATTGGTGCCAGCCCTACAACAATAAATATTTTAGCTTCATTAAGATTTAATAATATTTCTGATCGGAACCTCCGAGTGAAAGCTGGGTGCTGATGTAACCAGTCTGTGCACATTTGCATCTAAACTCTGCGCAAATTTTAACATAAAATAGTCTCTGGAGTTGTAAAAAAAACACTTACACCACTGGGCAGCAATATAAGAAAGCCTTGGTACTAAGAAACAGTAATGTTTAATAGGAAAAGTTCATCTGCATATATAAAAACCAAAACACAAAATATAACATGGAATTAAATGATGCTTTAAATTAACTTAATCTATAAATATATGTACATATTTGTGCATATATATATATTTTATATATAAGGAAATGTTAATGCTAGTCAATAGATAATGCACACCCACTAAAATACAGTAAAATGGGAATTCTTTTACAGACTGATTTATTGAGTATAGGTAAGAAATGAAAAATAAAAAGGCTTAAGATGGTTCAATCAAAATGTAAAGAGTGCAAGAGAAAAAAAAGTGCTAACACTTTCCATAGGAGCTGAGAATGTAAAATGATCATAGTTGTGCAAGATAGAGAACAATAGTGTTTGTTTGAAGATATTGTTTCTTGTCATTGTATTGGGAAGGAAGGCTGCATAAAAGGTCAGACAAGTACCATTGTCTCGCACAATGCATGTCAGCAGAGATCTGAACTGAATGCTTTCAGATAGGAAATATTGGGGGGTTGAGGAGGGGAAAAAGACTGTATGTGGTACAGTAAAGAGAAGCAGGTTAGGTTCTCATGAAGAACAGTTTTGATCTCACTTTGATCTGCCCAAAGCCAGGCAGGCTGCCGGTAGCTGAAATGGAGTGAGCGCAATAACAGGCAAAGCTCTGGGTGCTGCCATTTTTCAGCAACACACATATTGCCTGGACCATCTTCCAGAAGAACTGAAAAACAGCAGGGTTAAAATCCTGGTATCTTGTCTACACTCAGTCTCTTGCCAATATACTGGCCTCCTGAAAGAATTGGAGCCTGTTAGTTCTTTTAAAAGTCCTCTTCTTCTCCCTGCTCTCTGCTTCATTTTTCCCTTATTTCAGAGAGTTGTCCATGATCTTTTTCAAGCAGGGGTCTTCCTTCAGAAAATCTTCAGAGAATCTGGGGTTATGGACTTTGTTGTCTCTTCTGCTGAAGTAACTGCATTGGTGAGAGGCTGTGAAACTCTTTGGTCTGACCCATTGTCGTGGTGGTCGTCCATCCTCCTACCGCTCTGGTCGCTTAGTATTTGCTCTGCATCCTAAAGCCCTCAGGCTCCTGTGATATTTCATACTACAGAGAATTTGGACAAGAAAAGAAATAAAGAGTAGCTCTGGGTCAGAAAGCTCCTTTCTCAGAATAGTTCAGCGCATGGTAGCCCTCTCTGTAAGTGACACACCAACCCTCAAGGAAAACCAAATGTATTTTACAGGAAGATTTTAATCAGTGAAAAGTTGACATCTTCGGAAAGGGAGAAATGCCAAAATCGATGTGAATCTGATCAATCAACCAACTAACAGTTTTTCTTCTCTTAATTGGCAGCTTTTTAAAAGCATGTTTTTTTGGTTTTTAAACCTCAGGTTTCTGTGTTGCTTCTATCATGGTTTAGGCCTCAATTCTGCAAAACACATAAGTGTATTACAATTAAACAGATTTTCTTCACTAAACAGGGGTAGTTTCTTGCACCACAGAGGTGAAGCTAAAATGTCATGTAAATGAGTTTTGAATGGACAATGTGCTTCCCATTTACTGGAAGCATGCAGAACCCAGCAAATCAATCATATCACAGTGTAGCACTTCTCAAGCCCCTGCTCCCTCCGCAGCTCCCTTGCAGAGTTCAAGGATAAAACAGGCAGTTTTTTCAAAACACGCCTTCCAGCTAATGACATGCTTCTGGTGAACAGGCTTCTCTGGGCTATATCAATGCAAAAGCTGTGCTAGCTTTTTCATGGCACTTTACACTTTACCCCTTTGCAATGCTGCAGCACCTGCAGAGGCTCTTGCCTCTAGACAGTGGCAGAGCGGGTGGGAGGACACCGACCCTCTGGGCAGCTGTTCCAGCTTAAGCTGACTGTGAATCTTGATGAAGCTGCATCTGGGAAGTGCCACTGCAGCACCTATTGACACTACAGCTGGCTTAAAAGAAGCACAGGTTGTAACAGCCTGCGGTGCTTGCATGCGTGCCTATGCTGAAGGATGTGTTTGGTCAATGCAGACAAATGTCCTATGACACAGCAGACCACTGGGCAGCCAAACTGTTGCTTTGACCCTTGCTTTTCACGTTTCCCTCTGGTGACTCAAGGATGACTACTGGGGCTTTAAAAAGTTCTTCATAAGATGAGTGTTGATCTCTGTATTAGGGAAATGTTTTCAGCTGCAGCTACAGTTGTTTGGTTGCCTTTATACCATTTGGCCTTCTAGATCAAGGGAGGATGGACAGAGTGGAGTTTAGGTTCCAACAATGTCTGTAGCCCACAATGCTACAGTTCAGAAACACAATTCCCGTAGGCCTGTGTGAAACACTTACCAAATCATCATAACTGCTCTTCGGAAAACGACCTTTGTTTGAGGAACACATCTCATATGGGTTGTTTGGCTGATATCCAGGGTTCGCATGGCCGGAAGTGGTCCGGACTCTGGGGAACTTCACGGTCTCTCTATCATCAGAGGTATCTGGGTTGGGATATCCTGACTTTATCAGGCTCTTCTTCTCTGGATCTTGTTTGTGTTTGGCTCTTCAGAGGAAATGAAAGAACAAAGGAGTTTTAAAAGACCTTTTAGTGTGCCTTACTTATTGAGTAAGTCCAACTTACTGAATTGTCCACTCCCACCTTATTTTATTTTGTCCACTCCCACCTTATTTTGAATGCTCAGTCCTGTTCTGAAACATGCAACAGATTTTTCTAGCATACCTATTGCAAAACCCTTGTTATCAATGACAGAGTGCAAAGTTTGGCATCACTTATCATAGATGAGGCTAAGCTGCCAGGAGAGACAAAGGGGGACTTTGGCCTCTTTCAACTAGTTCCTAGAGTGAAGGAGTTTCCTTGACCACCACTAGCTCTAACTGACTATTCAGAGGAAGAAATGAGGCATTAATTAGGCCCAGTTAAGAAAAGTTGCCCTCGTGCCTGCAGCCAAAGCTGGACACTCAAACGATGCATTTGAATTGCTTGTGATCACAAGTCCATACATCGCACACACACTCGGCACCAGCTTGTGCACCTGCTGGCAAGCTGTGCTTGCTATGCGTGGTCTTGTAGGCATCTTTACCTGGGCTGCACTGGGAGCAAAGGCAGAGGAGCTGCTTGAGTGTTTCTATATTTATTGTATGGAGACAAGTGAGGAGGTGCCACTGCAATTGGGAATTTGCCAGTACACCAGGAATAGTAAGCTTTAAAGAGATACTTGGCTGGAAATGGCACCTGTATTGAGCTGAAAGGGGCATGCCAGGCCTTGAGCTGAAGTGCTAGCAGGGAAAGTTGCAGAGGGTCTGAATTTGGGCCACACAGTCTTCTGGTATCAGCATCCTTCTTCAGCCTGATCCAGATGCCATATCAGTACTGGCTAGGGCAGGAGTAGGATTAATGGGTCAGGTGTGTATTTTGAAAGACTTGGCTGAAGCTTTCATGCTCAGATTCATAGCAAGAGAATAAATACTTCTGGGGAGAGCACACAGGCAAAACCAAATTCTAATGGCTACATGACTTAAATGAACTTGTCTGCCCAACTAGGCATGCAACCACATTCACAGCCCTACCCCTCTCTAAATTTCTGCTTAGTTCTCTAGGAACATGCAGCAATGCAGCTTCTATTCAATTGTCAGAAATAATCTTACCTTACTGAAACAATAGAGACTGCTATCACTAAACTCAGGATAATTGCTCCAAACACTGTACCCACTATTATAAGGATGAGTTCACTATCTGGAAAAACAAACAAACAAACAAACAAGAAACAGCAATTGAAAACTCATGGTAAATATTGCAAACCAAGTCCTGTCTCTTGAGACAGACAGACAGAAAGAAAGGAAGGAAGGAAGGAAGGAAGGAAGGAAGCAAGCAAGCAAGCAAGCAAGCAAGAGACAAAGAAAGAAAGAAAGAGAGAAAGAAAGAAAAAGAAAGAAAGAAAGAGAGAAAGAAAGAAAAAGAAAGAAAGAAAGAGAGAAAGAAAGAAAAAGAAAGAAAGAAAGAGAGAAAGAAAGAAAAAGAAAGAAAGAAAGAGAGAAAGAAAGAAAAAGAAAGAAAGAAAGAAAGAAAGAAAGAAAGAAAGAAAGAAAGAAAGAAAGAAAGGAAAAGAGAAAAGAAA